GCCCAGGATACGCCTCCTTCCACCTGCTGTCCTTTCTGCTACCAATGCTCTCCATTTTCCCTCCACTAAAATGCATAGAAGAAACGTGTCCGGAAGAGCCCGGGAGGGTGGATTTAAAAAAATTCTTAATGTCTCTCTGTTTTATTCCTTTTATTTTAAACTAAAACAGTCAATGTACTTTTTTTAAAAAAAGAAAAAGTTATTTTTATTTGCAAAACAGGAATAAAGTTGGGAGAAAAAAACCCAACCACCTGTCTCTCTTGCTAAGTCATTACATAAATATAGACTACAGGCAGCTACGTTTTTAGAACTTGGAAAAGGACAGGGCAGCTGATGGCTCCTCTTGTGAGGGGCCCCTAGATACATGAGGCCCTTACATGAGGTGAGTCAGTAAATGTGTAGTGCCATAGAGTCTTGTTTGTTTTTAAAAACTAGAACAACAGAAATGCCTTCACAAATTTCTGGTTCAAAAGGCAATAACCATGTCTTTATTTGCAAGTCGCATGGTCATGTATTTATAGAATTTTAAGGGAGCTAACAATAAACCTACTACAGGACTAAAAATTTAATTTAGTACAGTTGCAGTTGTAGATAGATACACAAAAACTAAATTCTGTTCCTGTAGGCTAGCAATGAAAAATTGGAAATCGAAATTGTGTGCGTGCGTGTGTGTGTGTGTGTGTGTGTGTACGAAATGTATGATAGCTTCCATGAAATATTTAGGAATAAATGTAAGGAAACATAGAAAACTTACACACTGAAACTACAAAACTGCTGAAAGCACTGAAGATCAAAATAAATGTGAAAATAAACCATTATTCTAGATCAAGAAATTCAGTACTGTCAAGATATTAATTCTCTCCAAATTGATCTATAAACTCAGTGCAGTCAAAATCAAAAGCACAGCAGATGTCTGTATAAATTGACGAACTTACCTCCAAACTTTTATGGAAATGCAAAGAACCTATAATAGACAAAGTAATTTTGAAAAGAAAACCACAAATCTGGAGAATTGCGTTATCTAATTTCCAGACTTACAATGTAGTGTACAAGGTAGTGTAGCTGTGGAGTGTATATAGACATTGGATTTATCAAAATTAAAAACTTCTGCTCTTTGAAAGATATGGTTAAGAAAAGAAAGCAAGAAGCTGGGAGAAAATACTTATAAAATGTGTAACAAAGTGTTTGTATCCAAACAATATATAAAGAGTTCTTAAATTTCAAAATAAGAAGGCAAACTGCAATTTAAAAATGATCAAAGATTTGAATAAGAGTTTCACAAAAGTACATATACAAATTATCAATGAGCCCATGGAATGATGCTCAATCTCATTAATTGTCAGAAAAATGTAAAAAAAAAAACTCAGTATGAATATCACTGCACACTCATCCCAATAGCTAAAATTAAAAAGTCTGACAATCCAAAGTATTTCTGAGGACATGGAACAACTGGTACTCTCATTCATTGCTGGTCAGAAGTTCAACCACCTTGAAAGACTTCTTGACATTTTCTTGAAAAGTTAAATATTCCATAAATTCCACTCTTAAGAATTATCCCTAACAGAATTTAAAACGTATTTCCTCAAAAATATTTGCATGGGAATGTTCACAGCAGTTTCATTAATGATAGCTCCAAAGTGGATACAATTCAAATGTCCATCAAGAAATCAATAGACAAACAGATTGTGATGTGTTTATGCATTAGAATACTACTAAGCAGTAAGAAGGAACAAACTACTGGCACAAGCAGTAACAGAGATGCACTTCAAAAAATACTATACTCAGGAAAAGGTATCAGACACAAGAGTTCGTTCTGCATGATTCCACTTATATAAAGTTCTAGAAAAGGCAAAACTAAATTATATTGATATAAATTTAAAAGGATCATTGTTTGCCTGACTTGAAGGTTATGATTTTTCTGACTGTAGAAGGGCATAACAGAACTTCCTCAGCTGAGGGAAATGTTCTCTCTCGATGGAGTAGTGACTTCACTGGCAAATACATTTGTTGAAATCATTGAATTGTATAGTTAAAATGTGTATATCATATTGTATCTAAATTATACCCCAATAAAGGTGATTAAAAAATCAAATATCTAGGAATACATCTAATTAAATACTTGTAAGACCTCTACATTGAAAATTATAAAATGATTTTTAGAAACATTAAGGGTCTAAATAAGTGTAGAAATATGTATTGGAAGACTCAATACTTTAAAGTCAATTATTCACAAATCGATCTATAAGTTCAAAGCAATCCATATAAAAATCTCAGCAGGTTATTTTTTTGTTGACCAGCAGATTCCAATTATGTATACAAAAATGCAAAGAAAGAGTCAAATATAGCCAAGACAACCTTCAAGAAGAGCGCTTTAACACTTCGTACTAGATACCAAACTTAATACAATGCTATAGTGAATAAATAATATGACATTGTGTCAAATATTAACACATATGCATATCTACACACACACATGGAACTGTGAAACATACATATCGTCACTTGATTGACAAAGATGACACTGCAATGAAGTGGAGAAAGGTGTTTTTTTTTTATCATAGCAGATCAGTTAAATATGCACGAAAATATCTGTTAACTCCACCTTAAGTAATACACAAAAATAAACTCCCAATGGGACTCTAAATGGAAAAGGTAAAAATGTCATTTTAATGCAAAATACACAGGAAATCATCTTCATGACTTGGGAGAAGGCAGTGTTCTTAAAGAGGATACAAAAAAGACTAATTACAAAGGATAAAAGAGATTATAAATTTCACTGTATTAACATCAGAACCTCCTGCTCACCAAAGACACTGTTAAAAGACTAAGGAACCAAGCCACAAACTAGGAGATTTTTGGAACACATATATGTGAGAAATGATTTGTATGTATAATGTATAAAGAACTCTTACACATGAATAAGAAAAAGACAGACATTCCAACAGAAAAATGGGCAAACACCTTAAATTAGTAGTTCAAAAAACAGAATATCCAAGTATCTAATAAGTTTGTGAAAATATGTTCAACTTCATTAGTTTGCAGAGAAATGCAAATTAAAACTAAAACGTGATACCACTAAACGCTACCCAGAATGTCTAAAATAATAAAGACGAAAAACACCAAGTGTTTCATGAGTACAACCAGAACTGGTACTACCACTTTAGAAAACTGTGGTAGTACCACAGAATATCTAAACTTGACAGAATGTATAAAGGTAAATACATGTACACCCTATGACCCAGCACTCTCACTCTAGATATACCCATAATAAAAATGTGTGCATTGGTTTATCAATCACCATTTACACATATGTTCATAATAGCAC